CCTATTTCCTTATTTCTTACTAGCCTCCTTCTTCTCCAAAGATCCCAGGTTACAGATGGGGGAGAGGAGTGAAAATTAATTTGCAGAGAAGCAGCTCATTACATGACCATTTTAAGTAACACCCAAATTCTTGGGCAAACATGGATCATGGATTGAGCTTTTAATGAGTATGAATGCTGCAAAGTAGGATTTCAAGTATTCTAAAGTTAAATGCTAAAAGTGCTTTGTTTCCAATAACTGAAGTGCTAGTTATTTTGGAATTAAAATATAACTGCTAATACAAAGTAGTCAAGATTATATATGTGCCTTTCCACCATTGGTTCCTATGAATTAAAATTAGTCCAATCAGCCAGGTCAGAATGACCATCAGATTATCAGTCAACACTTAGACCATCCTTCATGTCTAAATCCAGTTTATACAAGTTTCTACACTCAAACACTTTTTTTTGGAACTTCATAAGCCAATAATAGTAACATACAGAACAAACTATAACCTAGAAGTCTAGAAATTGGCAATGTCTTTCCATGCTCTTTTGTGAGTGTTAAAGTTACAACTTAAAATTACAGGTATACTACCACTTGAAGCGATACATAATTACACTGTGCTTACACCAAATTCACATATACAAGAAAGGCAGAATAGATGGTGATTATTCACCTTACCAAAGGATATCCCATTAAATGTCTTTAAATAGCTCATCTATGACAGGATAGGGCTTCTTCATAAAATCATGTATACCTAGTACTTTTTAAAAGATTTTTATTTAATTAATTTATTTATTTGAGAGAGCAAGAGAGACAGAGAGAGAGAGAGAGAGAGAAAAAAGGTACATGCAAGTTGGGGGAGGGGCAGAGGAAGAGACTCCTCAAGCAGATCCCTGCTTAGGGCAGAGCAGGACTCCAGGGGCTCCATCTCATGACCCATGAGATCATGAACTGAGCCAAAACCAAGAGTCAGACACTTAACCAAGTGAGTCACCAGGCACCCCTATTTTATTTTATTTTTGAAGTAATCTCTACATCCATCGTGGGGCTCAAACTTACTACCTTGAGATCAAGAGTAGCACTAAGCCAGCCAGGCGCCCCAAGTAACTTTCTTTTTAATTAACAAATGACATTGAAAATAGTACTACCAATAGTATCACATTAGTTGCCATCTCTTCTTACAAAGACACCAAAACACTGCCATATGTGTTATCTTTTTCTTTCTACTCTCTCAGTGGGATTGGTAGTTTAACATCTTGTCACCACAATGTTGCTTCTTTTCAGTGATGGGAAACTGAGGGATTAATAGACTTGTCAACAGTCACAAAACAAATTTACAACAAAACTGAAGCTTACTCTTGATCTCAAGTTTTCTCCAATTAGGCAATGCAGGTTTATTTAATTTTATCCCAACTGGTCACAAATAACGTGTATATGTGTGTGTGTGTGTGTGTGTGTATATGTAATATAATTACTAATAGATTTTCTATTGAAGTTGCCCTACATTGCAGTATTAAGCTAGATTTCAGAACCACATAATATTTTAGATTCTAAATTAAGTGTCATAATAGAAGAAAACAGGCTTTAATAGGACATTATATTTATTATTAGTTCAAAATGCACCATTATCTTCCATCAGGTTGCTATATTTTGCCTGAACTTCAAAGATCTTTGGGACTCAAGGGAATCTTCACTATTAAAAAAGACACTGTTGTTTCATAGTATATCAAACTTTAGAAGACTAATAGAACTTTTCTTAAATGTGAAAATTTTACACACTTCATTCGCTCTCAAGTGATGAAAAGATTATGCATCTCAATCAGATGTTTTCTTTCATAAAAGTATTTATGGAATTTCACTAGGCTTAGTCTTCTTTCATTACAGTTTTTTGTTGTTGTTGTTGTTTTGTTTGTTTTTTACTTTTCAGATAATATTACACAATGGCCTCAACTGCAAGAGGTTATTAGTAAGATATGGTTCCAGAAATGGAACCCCAGGAAAATCAAGTGCTACTTGTTTAGACAGCTGATATTTATTTCTAGCAAATGCTTTTTGGAATCTGAAAACTAGTCCTCCATTTTGTATTTTTCTAACAATTCGGTGATAAAAATATAGAAAGTAAACATAAGCTATTTCTAAATCCCAGAAAAAGTTGTTGGCTAGGATACAGGCTGTTCAATTCTTAATGCACACAGGGAGGGCTCAATAAATGTCACTAACTGATAGTATTAATGCTAAAGGACTACTTCTCTTAGGTAGGTAGTTGCTTAAGTTCTCCTGAAAATATGGTTTTCTTTTCTCTACCCCAGAGTATTTAGATAATGTGCTATTACTATCTTAAATGTATTATATACTTGCTGAGAAAATAAAAAAGGTTTTCTTGAGTATCTACAGTTCACATTCCAGGATCTTGTGACTATGAAACAATTTACCATCTGGTACTGATATGGTTAGATAATAACCTAGTAGAATTTGGAGTATGATACTCTGAAAAGATGAAATCCTGCTATAGTAGTTGTGTGTTTGGTTTGGTTTGGTTTTGGTTTTCTTGGTCATCAGTGGAAACTGTCCTTAGTTTCTAAGTTGCTGCAATTGTTTTTTCTTTCCCCCTGCATTGTTCTTCCTAAACATACCTCCCATACATGGCTTTAAAATAAGTCTTTGAGGGAAGTACCAGATGTAGGACAGTCAAGTTGGGTGCTCTGGAGCAGTAATCAAGGATTCCCACAGTTTCCACATGTGGTTTTTGGGTGTAAGCATGGAGCCAGGATACTTGCATTAAGACCCTTGGTCTTGAGGTTTGGGACTCCAGAGATCTCTCCAGTTCCAGTGAGTTAGGCTACCATGTTACTTATTGTCAACTTTCCACACACACTCAGAGCGTATATACTGACTGGTACATCTTGTTTCCTACCATTTTAATTAGTTATGTGGAGGCTTTTAATCCTTTGTGGGCCAACCATGAATTACATAGTTGTGTAGTCTGATGACAGTTCTATGATTTTTTTCCTCTGTAAAATGGTTTCAAACCTATTTGTAACAACCAGAATTTTTATCATTTCTTCATAGCAGTTTTATGCAATAAATTCTTTACATTTCTAAGGAGCAAATGTATAAGAGAAGCTAGGGCCTTTAAGACTTCTGGAAAACTTACTTTCAAGAGAACTATTTTATTCACACAGAAATCCTTATAAATATAAACAAAACATTTTAACTTTATACATCTTATTTTAGGCTAAGATGTCTTTTAACATCTTTAACCCCATTCTTACCAAAAATATAGCCCACTTACTGATCTCTTCTAAATTATCTTTATCATTACTTTCATTTCATAATAAATCCTTAATGTGTTCTTTAAGGAGAAATCATCTTACAGATTACTTTAGATTTTTCCTTTGTGTGATTTAAGATCATCATAACAAGTAATCAAGAAGTTTATGTAATAAGATAATGTAATGAGGCAAGCAGGCATCTTATACCTATTTTTCCAAAATTGATCACCATTTTTAACAATATGGTAAATCAAAGTTAAATTAAGCTTTCGTAAGTTGATATTGGATTTAACCAGTTGATCTAACTTATTAATGGAAAATATCTCTAACAATTACCAAAATCACAGATTTAGAAATGAAACATTCCTTTAGCTATCTCTGCCACAATAGCAGCATAATGTTACACTTTGTTCCTTTACTCTCTCCCATCTTCTTAAGAAACAGGGATGTTATTATGTGGTCTTATTTCACATCCTGACCTCGTTTACTTGGGTTTGGAGAACATGGTTTCTACTAAGGTTAAAAGACATGTGTCTGTATGTTATTTACAACTAAGGACCTAAAAATTTTCAGTAAACTGTCATTATCAAAACATCCTTTGTCATAAAAAGTATTTCTACTCTTCAAAGATTAGAGAACTGAGTATAATGATTAACTGATTTATGTAAGTCATAATGATATGACTGCTAAAGCTGTGATATGAAATCTTGATTTCCCCTCAAGATTTCTTGGATTTTACATACATGATGTATTAGTGTGTCAAAGTTCAAGAGCCACCTTCCCCACTTTTTTTTTAACTGTTTAAGATAATGGCCTTACCACTTTCTTTTGCCAGAAAGTAGCAAAAAGATGATAAAATCTCCAGTACTTTATAGCTGCTCTCTGTACTGGGAGAGGAAAGGGTGCTTTCTGACTTGTTCTGGTTGTTCATGGCCCAATTCAAACCACGTAACACTCTGGCTCCAACTAGGAGTTTTAGAATAAACAAAAGAAAGAATTATAACTAACGCAGTAGGTTCTACATTTATGGAGCCCATAAGCTGATTTCGTGCTGAAAGTAAAAACAGTCTCAAGAGGTTAAATGAACTCTTCGATGCTGAAATCACAGCAAATTCAGGAAAATGAGGGATATGTTGGTAACCTCTAATCTTTTTTTAAACTGACCTCACCCTGGGCAAGTAACCATCTCCTGATGCCATTGTTGGAGACAGAATTTCTGGCTGAAAGATCAGTTTTCTGACTCAATCTGGCTTGCTATTCTTGGTTAATCATCCGCATTTCTCTCAATATTTCACTCCTCTGACTACAGTGGTCAACATTTATTTTCAGAAGACTTTTTTTAAGTGATTCGCTTCCTCCATTGGTCTCCCTCTTTATCCTAACTCTCCCTAACCCCCATTTCTATCGCCCTTGTTTCTCTAAGATTTTGCTAAACATTAGACACAGCACATGACCTCCATCCAGTCTTCCAGCGTCTCGGAACAAAACCGGTTGGCGCGGTTGTAAGCTTCTCTAGGGTTGGAATTTAAGAGTCTTCAGCTCTCCAACTCTTAAAGACCTACAGCGTAAATTTTAAATTTAAAAAATTTTAAATAAAAAAACCGCCCCCCTTTTTTAACCTTTAGTCCCGCCCACCGTCTCCCCCCCACCCCGCAGCCTCCACGCGAAACTGCAGGAAACCGGAGGGGGCGGGGCGGTGACGTCACGACGCCGGTGCGTCACGGAACGGCGGCGGCTGCGGCGCTGGCGGTGGCTGCGGCAGCGGCGGCATTTTAGTCGACAGCGGCGGCGGCAGCGGGGCCGCTGCTCCTCCCAGCATCCCTGGCGCGGCCATTTCAGCCCCATCTTGGCCGAGGGGAGGGAGCTGCAGCCGCCGCTTCAGCAGTTTGAATTTCAGTTTCTCCAGGGTCTGCGAACCGGGCGCACCGAGGAGGAGCCGAAAAAGCTACCACCGCTACCTCACACAGCCGGAGCGCTTCCGCTCGCCGGCCAGCCAGGCGGCTGCCGCCACCACCGCCGCCGCCGCCGCCGCCGCCCCTCACTCTTCTCAGGAGCCGCGAGGGGAGGCCGAGACCGCCGCCGCCGCCCGCGGGGAGGCTCCCCCTGTAAGGGGAGGACCGAGCCGGCTTTCCCCTCCCCCGGAGCGGGTTTCCGCCAGAGACAGTCGACATGTCCCTGGGGCTGAGCTCCGGCTAAAGCCGGGGAGGGGGCCGCCCGCCCGCGCCGAAGCTCCGCCGCCCGCCCGCGGGACCTTCAGCCAGCCCCAGCCCGCGGCTCCTGGCTGAATCAGGAATCCCCGGCGCCAGACTCGCCACTCCTTCCCCTTCTTCCCTCAGCGTCCGAGAGCCCAGAGCTGACGCCGGCACTGGCCTGAGGAGCCCGAGCGGGGCAGCACCGCCCCTCACGCCGCCGCCGCCGCCACCTCCTCCTCCTCCCCTTCGCCCTCCCACTCCCACCCCCAGCCAAGGCCTGCTGACCGCGCCGAGCGCCGAGCTAGACTGACCACGGCGGCCCCGGAGACGGGAGGAGGAAGCAGGCGGCCCGCCCCTGGGATCGCGCTCGCGCCGCCGCTGAGGGGATTGAATTGAGGCGCCGCGGCTGCGGGAGGCGAAAAGGAAGGAGGAGCCGCCGCGCGAGTGCGACGGGGGCAGAGCCGTAGAGATCGACCCAGAAGGAAACGGGGAGGAGGATGTCTCACAGAGCGGCCAGCGTCCGGATCAGCCAGTGACTCTTAACAGCGGCGGGCCTCAGACCCCAGCGCGGACTCGGACTTTGTCTTTGGGGGCCCCTGCTCTGCCTTTCCTGGTTTCCGGCAAGATCGCAGAGGAGCCGGCGTGCCTCTCTGCCCTCCAGCCTTCCTCACCATGTCCAAGATGCCGGCCAAGAAGAAGAGCTGCTTCCAGATCACTAGTGTCACCACGGCTCAGGTGGCCACTAGCATCACCGAGGACACTGAGAGCCTGGACGACCCGGACGAGTCACGTACAGAGGACGTCTCCTCCGAAATATTCGACGTTTCTCGGGCCACGGATTATGGCCCTGAGGAGGTCTGCGAGCGCAGCTCCTCCGAAGAGACACTCAACAATGTTGGGGATGCAGAGACTCCCGGGACCGTCTCTCCAAACCTCGTCCTGGACGGGCAGCTGGCGGCCGCGGCGGCTGCTCCCGCCAACGGAGGAGGAGCCCTTTCGGCCCGGAGCGTGGCTGGGGCGCTGGCCAGTACCCTGGCGGCGGCCGCCACCTCGGCCCCCTCTTCGGGGGCACCCGGCGCCCCCCCGGTCACGGGCTCGTCTGCCGGGCCAGGGACCGCAGCCCCATCACAGCCCCCCACCACTTGTAGTTCCCGTTTTCGCGTGATCAAGCTGGACCACGGGAGCGGGGAGCCCTACCGCCGCGGCCGATGGACGTGTATGGAATACTATGAGCGGGATTCAGACAGCAGCGTCCTGACCAGGTCTGGGGATTGCATTAGGCACAGCAATACTTTTGACCAGACTGCGGAGCGGGACAGCGGCCTGGGCGCCACCGGAGGGTCGGTGGTGGTGGTGGTGGCCTCCATGCAGGGGGCGCACGGGCCCGACTCGGGAACTGACAGTTCCTTGACTGCTGTGTCACAGCTACCCCCGTCGGAGAAAATGAGCCAGCCCGCCCCGGCCCAGCCGCAGAGTTTTGGCGTTGGGCAGCCACAGCCACCGCCGCCCGTAGGTGGGGCTGTGGTTCAAAGCGCGGCTCCAGTGCCGCCGTTCCCGGGAGCCGCGGCCGGGCCTCAGCAAATGATGGCAGCCCCGCAGCCAAGCCAGCCCCAGGGAACCGGCCCCGGCGTCCTCCCGCAGGGGCCCAATGGACAGGGGCTGCCGCTGACGAATGTAACCCTGACGCAGCCCGGCGTGCCCCTGCCGCAGCAGCCGGGCCCCGCCGTCGGCGCTCCTACGACGCAGCCGCCCCAGCCGTTCGCGTACCCTCAGCTACCGCCTGGGCATTTGCTGCCAGTCCAGCCCGCGGGTCAGAGTGAGTACCTACAGCAGCACGTGGCCGGCCTGCAGCCGCCAAGCCCCGCGCAGCCCTCGTCCACCGGCGCCGGAGCGAGCCTCGCCACGGCTGCCAGCCTTCCAGTGGGCACCGGCCCGAATGCCGCCTCGGTGGGTGCGCAGATAATGGGCGTGTCTTCCTTGCCCAGTGAAGCCGTGGCTCCGGGGCCGGGACCCGCGCCAGGCGGACAGGCCGCGCCTGGTCAGCCGGCCGGAGTGCCCTTGGCTGCTGTGGGATGCGCCGTGCCGCCGGGCCTGGTCCCCCCTGGGACCGGGCAGCCCCAGTCCGTGCCTCCGCCGCAGATGGGTGGCAGTGGTGCGCCGTCAGCCGTGCCTGGCGGCCCCCACGCCGTGCTGCCCGGAGTTCCAAACGTGCCTGCAGCCGTGCCCGCTCCAAGCGTGCCTAGTGTGTCTACCACCTCTGTTACGATGCCAAATGTACCCGCGCCTCTGGTCCAGTCGCAGCAGCTGAGCAGCCATACGCCAGTCAGCAGGAGCAGCAGCATAATCCAGCATGTTGGGCTGCCCTTAGCGCAAGGCACACCCAGTGCACCAACAAGTCTACCACAGTCTGACCTAAGCCAGTTTCAGACTCAGACCCAACCTTTAGTCGGGCATGTTGACGATACTAGAAGAAAATCAGAACCCCTACCTCAACCACCACTTTCTCTCATTGCTGAAAATAAGCCTGTTGTGAAGCCTCCTGTTGCAGATGCCCTGGCAAACCCCCTTCAGTTAACACCTATGAACAGTCTCGCCACCTCTGTATTCAGCATAGCTATTCCTGTTGATGGTGATGAAGACAGGTATGGAAATCTTACTTAAAATATTTGATAGGAGTGCTTGACCAAACATTGTAGTTTAGAATGCAACCTAAGAGTTCTTTTTTCACTTTGAGGCCCTTACCGTTTTTAGACTTAGCTTGTGTTTAGTAAGTTTAGTTTGTGTTTAGTAAGATTGATTTGTCAGTTCTTGAAAATCCATTCGTTTAGATTGCTAATATAAAGGTGTAATGAGAGAATTGGTCTTGTCACAGTCATTTAAAAGCACTGAATTGGATAAGGACACAACATTTGTTCATTCAAAAAAGGTGGATTTAAGCTTAATTCTCTCGATTTACAGGTGGTAACTAGTAGATTAGGCCCCAGAAGATTGTCCTTTTCTTAGGTAACAATCGCACTTGAACCCTTAGGGCAGAGAGTTTTGTCAGTGTGAGTTTGGAGACTAAGACGTAAAATCAGAAGTTTCCCATTCTGGAAAACCAGAGGTCCTCTACAGTAGGGAAAGATCCATGTAAGGAATCTCCTCCAGTGTATCTGCAAAGGCTGGAGAGAGAATGGTGAAATGTCAAGTCTGGCTTTGAAGATCATATCGTCCTCCAGCCTTTTAAATAAAAGAACATGGAAGGTCAGGAGGCTTCCCAGTGACTTCGTTAAGATCCTTTTTTTTTTTTTTTTGAAGTAAAAAAGTGTATTGGAAAGATGTTATCTTCCATCAGTAGTTTTTTAACTATGGAAAGGGAGGTATGAAGTAAGACTTTTTGACAGTAGTAAAAGCTACAGTTCTTGAAATTAGAGTAATTTTATAGTAAAAGTGTTAACAGTTGTCAACAGTTGGCTCCCTCTATTTAAGGGATGCTTTTTTAATGGTTTAAGTGAAAATTGGTGTATTGCCATTACCAATTCTACAACAGTTGATGTTTGGTTATGGTTCAGTGAGGATTTTTAAGTGGTTTTCAGGAAATGTCACAGGAAAATTTGACATGTTGCAAATTTTTAAAAACCCACTTGTTACAAAGCTTTAAAATTACATTTAAAAATTAGAAAGTTTCAGGTACTTTACAGTTAGGCATTTATTTGCTGGGTTTTTTGTTTTGAGCGAGGTTAATTTTAGATGTGTTAAAAGATAATTTTATGGATTTCTGGAATAATGTAGAACCATGAGATCTGTTGAAGGTTTTTTCTGTTTCTTCTGAGTTCCTTCACATTCTTTTCTTAACTTTTCATTTCTAATTAGCCTTGTATTTTTGTTATATACTTATGTTGGTTTGAAAAATGCTCACTGAAATCATCTCCTCTGCTTTTTGTAATTCAAAGTTCATATTTTTTTGTAGGTGACTTGCTTGTTGGGAGTCTTTCTTCCATTTGAGAACTCTTAGAGAATACCACGTGTCCATAAGTGAGCTCAGCTAGCTAGTCATTGAGAAATTTTATATGGATGGGACTACCAAGTAAAGAAACTGATTCCACAAGCCATTCAGAAAAATCCCTCTTTACATCTCCCATATTTCACTTTTCACACATGGGGCACACCTGAAATGCAGATTGTTTGTTTATTCATCTTTTGTAAGAGGCAACAGGTATCTTCCCTTTTCTAGCTGCCAGAAGCCAATTTTTTCTGATGGGTTGGTAAATAACCATTTGCTTGCCTCTCTGTTCCTGTTGTATATTGCCTCCATATTTCAAGAAATGATGAGTGGTTCCCCAAACCACACCCACCTCCTTGTAAAACACATGCACATCTATGAATGAAGAATGTATTTTTCTCTCCTCTTCACAGCTCTTTCAGTTTACAAAATAGGCAGTTACATTCCCCAGAACTTAAATATAATGATGTGGCATGGAGCAGACAGATCCATTGACAAATGGAAACTCTGGGATGTATTCTTTAGGGTACGACCTCAAAGATAAAATTATTTATCCTCTTTATTAAAAGGTTAATAATTTTAAGAATTTATTTCGGAAGGTTAATGAGCTACAGATACTACCGCATCTGTTCTTATCAGTTGGCAATAGTTAATCCAGTACAGGGGTTTTGATGTGTGTGCAGTCCTATATTAAATATGGTCCTTCCCTCCCCCACCCAGTCTTCTAAAATCTGCATTACTTACCAGTGTGCATTTCTAATTTTTGTTATAGTCTTTCATTGGTTTTTAATTTAACATGCTAGTTTTCAAGATGTAATCTTACACATTTGACTATTTTGTCACTGGACCAACATACCTGGTGAAGGAATAAATCCATTAAGTAGAAATAGTGTTTTGTTTTGTTTTTGTTTTTAATGGAAAGCCTTTGTGAAAGAGGGCATTTTAAATTGTATGCTTGAAATTAAATAACACAGTTTTTCTAGGCATATGTTTAAATTACTAAGATGACTATTTTTGAGGAAACTGTACCAACAAAAATCATACTTTTTATATGGTGATTTGGGGTTGCCTTCTTAAATTAAAATCTGCATACAATTTTAGTTGCAGTCATTCAAATGCAAAATAAAACACTGGAGTGAGAGGTTTTGAGTAATTATGACTTTAACTTTGTGAATAGGTTGAAAATTTCAGATCCTGAAAATTTCAGATCCTAAAAATTTGTAAACAGTTTGCTTTTTTTAAAGTTAATATGTTAGTAAACATAGTCTAGTTCTTTGAGAAAAGGAAGGAAAATGGAAGATTAACAAAAATGATTGAGGTTCTTTAGTTTGATATATTAAAAACCCTATCTGTGGTTTTGGCTCCATTACCTTTTACAAAGCTTCATTCTGAGACTTACTTATTTTGAAAGAAGACCTATAAATACATTTTAATAATATACCTTTAAAAGGGCTGACGGTTATATATAGAAAGCAAGAAAATGTTTTAAAGTTCAGTTAACACTGCCTGTTGACTCTATATTATTAATTGCCATAAAGTTTATATATTCTAGCCTTTCTCACTGGAAAGGCTTATTAGTCGATGATTCTTCAAACGGATTTTGTGTAAACTGGAGATATAATAATGGTTGAAAATATAGTTCATAAAAAGCCACTTTTATACTGAAAGTTTAAAAATGTGTTTAAATTACGACACACTTAACAGACTCCTTTCTGGTAAATGGGGAGAGGTGCAAAATATTACTGGCCCTTTTGGAAAGGGAACACAGTACAGATCGTTTTCCACAGATAGCTGACCAGTGTGAACTCTGTAGGCCACATTCCAGGAACTCTTATGAATGGCTGCAATTGTGAACTGTCAGCTACAACCAAAAGATTGTTGAAAACCTGATTGTAAGGATCCCTTAGTGGCAAATATCTTTGTATCTTGTTAATGGTTTTATTTGTGTAGTTTGCTAATGACTACTGGTTAAGTATTACAAATTGTGAATGTTAAAGTGGTGTATCCTGGTATGTGCTATAAATACACAAATTTTGTTTGTACAAATATGTATATATGTGTATATATATATCTCTCTCTCAAATATACACACACATACTTGGGCAGGTTTTTTTAACTTGATGGTTAAGTGAGAAGATTATGTAAATGTATATTAAGAGATAGAACTGTCACTCTTACCTTTATTGTAAAATCTATAGATACTTATTAGAGCTCTAAAAGTCTCACTGCATTTAGTCTTTACAAATGAAAGCTCCTTAGTTGAATCTGTATTTCTTAGGAGCTTATGTTTCTTTATCGATACTGAATTGTGGAGGTAATTTTGCCCTTCCAGCTTTACAGTTGACGTTTAAATCACACACTACATATTATCCTATGTACTCTTACCAAGGATTTTATAATCAAAGTGTGAAATCCTGTGTATGAATGACATTATTATTTAGTATAAAAACTGATAATTGATGGATTCATCAGAGTGCCAGGCTGATTACTAAAATATACTTTAGTCATGAACATGGCTCTAAGTAAAGGAAATTATCATAGATTTCCAAAAGATGGATGGTCCAAAAGTGTATCAGTAGGGAGTATGGCGCCTTTTTTTTCTTTTTTTTAACAGTGCCATATATATTGTTCAAAATTTTGTATGAACTAAATTCTATAGGCTGAACATTGGTAACCTTTAGTAAACATAAGAGCTTATATGTGTGTGGGTAAGACACATACTATGTTAGTAACACTATCTTTTCCTTGTAGGGGAAGTAGGGTATCTTGAACTAAATTGCTTTTATGAGAAGTCATTTTTTTATAGTACTGATACTGTGGTGTATATGTTTTCTACTTCCTGAGAATAAGTGTAATGTTAATCTGTTCTTTGAGAATTCTGATAGCACTAATTTGGAAATAGTAAAATGTGATAGTGGATTCATGGATCTGGTACTTGCTAATTTGGAATAGAGTTTAGTCCTTCTGTGCACCAGAAGAGATTGGAAGTAGTCATGGGCTTTAGTGTTCTAGTAACAAAGAGCACCCCCAACAATCAGATGGTAAAGAAACCAAAATTAGTCTCTTTATTGAGGAATGATTGTTAGGGGAGTATAAAAAGATCTTGACTTTTCTTACCTAAAATAGCAGAAGTTGGGGCGGGAGGAGGTAGAGGGTGATGGCAGGTAACCAAGACAGAAAACATACAGTGAAATGACATGAAATATGGTTTCAGAAGGAATAGGAATACTTGTTAGTAGTGAAGAAAAGGCATCTAATTCCTTTTTTAAATAATTGTTTTAGACCAGTATGTATTTCCTTTTTGAACAGATACTGTTTATTTCTTAATTGCATTACTCTTTAAATATTCTTTAAGTATGAGGAAGAGAGGGTTTATAAAAACAGATTTGTCTGGTTAAATGTAGCCTGAATGATGATGTTCCCTAAGTAATTTCTTACTAATGGGAAGAACAGATTTCTAATTTAAAAAACCTTAATAGTTAACAGTATTTAAGGGATATGTGTAGCAAAATTCCTGAATTGGAATAAATCTCTTAACTTAGTTCTTTATACTAAACCAAGTGGACTTGTGATTTGAGGCTGCTCTTTTATATGGTATAATAAAATTATCCACAAAGAATGTGCATACCTGAATCATTGGTATAATTTGGGCCTGTCCCACAGCAATTCTTGAACATACCAAATGACTCAATATTTGTGACATTCTTAATCTGGCATGGCTTAGGGCAAAAACCCCTCCGTAAAGATTTAAGAACAGTAACCAATTCATATCATTCCTGTACATCATTACGTGACTTTCATAATATATTTTAATGTATACATTTCAAATTTGGCTGATAATGTTAAGAATATATTAATCTGCTTTTATCTCTAAAAAGTATATTCATAATTTCTGCTTTTAAATCAGGTGAATTAAATTTCATGCATGCTTCTCTGGATTGCTTACCTCTCACATTTAAAGCCCAAAATTAGATTTCAGTATTTAGTTTTATTTCTTTGTACTGAACTAACATTTGTTAAAAAGAATGAACTCTCATTAAGTTATACATTTATATGTGATGGTTATGTGAAAATTCTGCAGATCACTGAGTAATAATTTTAATAGTGTTTACCTAGGACATGGACTATTAGTGCCTTGCTAATTGGAGTAAGCAAGACAAATAAGTGAAGTCCGAATGTTAAATTACTTAAAGCCTCCTTTCCTCATAAGCTTTCACTAAAATTTGATGAAGAATATTAATATATAGAAGAGAAACTGTAATTAATGTGTCAATTATTGTAAATAATGCTGGTGTATTTTAAATGTTATTTTTAATGTGTTAGGCAATCCCTCTTCATTATTAAACAAGAAAATTGTTTAATCTGTGAATGAAAGATACCCAAAGCAAAGTTTAAAACCAACTAGTTTCTAAAGGAGAATTAGAATTAAGTTTTACTAAATAGTTTTGTAAGTTAATCTGAAACCCGTCCCTGCTTCCTATTTGGTCTACCTAGCTTTTGAAAACAAAACAAAAACAAAAAAGGAGAGGGAGGCTCTTGGTCAAATAAAATCAGTAGAGTGCTTAATTATGTATTAGCATATTATATGAATGACCATTACAGACAGTGGAGTTGGATATGCCTGGGCTGAAATCCCAACTGTGCTGCATACTTGAGGCATTTGACCTTCAGGTGGTTATTTAGCCTTATAAGCCCCTTGTTTCCCCATATGAAAAATGGGGATAATACCTGTGTTGGAAAGTTTGAGAGGATTAAATGAGGTATGCAAATAATTTGTAAACAGTCCATATATAATATAGTATGTATGGCAAGCATACATTACAGAAATGTTAGTATTTCATTGTCCACAAACTCTTCTCCCAGATCACACCTTATCATGCTATAAATCATACCAAGAGTCTTCAGTTTTGATCTGAAAGTGTAATTACATGGTATATGGATGTAATAAGAGAAAGGGAGACATTGTTATAGGCCAGAAAAGTTATGATGTTGTAAAACATATAGCAGTTGGGTTCTAATCCTGGCTTTTCTACCACTTAATTTCTTTAGTTAAGTCTTTTAACTTATCTCAGTTTTCCTCATTTTAATGTTAGAATTTGAGACTTGGTCAGATTTTTAAGGTTCCCTGTGTATGACTCGATACATTTAGACATGTTTCATAAGAGAGCTGCCAACTTAAACCTTCCTGCCACCAGACTATCATGTGACAAAAAAACAAAACAAAACAAAAACGAAGCTTGCCAGATACTCATCAAGTAGGTTGAATACCCAAGAAAACATTTAAAGTGACAGTATGTCAGTCATTCAACTTTCTTTGTGTTCTCTGAATAGTAAGTTCTGGAATACAGAAAAAAGACTATCCTACCCTCCCAAGATCTCAGATTATATGAAAATAATTATCAAATATATACTTTCATATACATTATAGACTGTGATGGAGTAAAATAATAAGGTACTAATTGGAACAGCTTAGGACATAAGGTCAGTTTTGGTATGGGGAGGAAATGGACTGATTTCTGTTTAAAATTAATTTATTAACTGCATAGGTAATACGTTTATACAGTTCTAAATATATGAGTATAAGCTGAAAGCCTCTCTGCACCTCTATCCTCCAGCCACCCAATTTCTGTCCTCAGCATCAACCCATTATTACTTGTGCATTCTTTTGAAGCTAACTCTTGGTCTGAATCTTAAAAGGGGTCACCGTTAAGAGAAAGGGATGATTTTCTGAGTAGAGGAGAATGGCAGTTTGTGTAACTGTGGAAGAATGAGATGTCAGATTTGGGAAATGATGTGATTAATTTGACAGGAACCAGAGTGAAGGGCTTAAATGTCATGGTGAGAAATTGAGATTTTTTTTTTTTATCAGAAGTTTCTGGTTGCTGTTAAAGGTGTTTCTTGAAGCTTTTATTGTTAAAGTAGTGTGTATCTTGGAACCATTTCAGTACCCTTTTCAGTGATTATTGTATTTTTAATTAAAATCTTGCGATAAAGTTGTATAATAAGGAAATCCTGGGGGAGCTCTGAGTCCCAGAAGTCAGAATTCTTATCCAATGGAATGTACTAAATAGCTTGGTATATACCTAGCTCTAAGTTAAATATTCTGTTTGCCTCAATATTATCTTAATAATGATGAAATATTTGGTGTATGTTAAGATACTCTACTAAAAGTTGATTTTTATATAGCATGATTTGGAAACTGTAATCCTATATTAAACAACAAACCAAGCTTAATTTTGTGAGGCTTTATGTATGCATAATTTGAGCTTTTTGGCAACTGTAAGGAAGTGTTCCTCCCCTTTTTATGGATTAAGGAAACTGAGGCTTTGAGGATTTGAATCACATAGTTACTGAGTAACATAATATATATTCAGACTTAGGCCTTCTGACTCCAAAGCCAGTGCTCTTGGATATTTCCAGAGTTAGTTTTGTTTTATTAATTTGCTGACTATAAGACAGGAGGAAGGAAAAGCTACTGTAGCTACTGATCTGTTGTGTTGTAACCCTTTACCTAAAGGATATTTTTAATCATTTTAAATCCTTAGATAATAATGTTGGAGATGGCCCTTGTGCCTCTGCTTATTGTGTTTCCCTGGTTTCTATTTAGAGATTGCTAAAATTGAGTTTTGACATAAGGGAAGAAAGTATTTGCTGAGTTCAAGGCTCATGTACCTCATCCTTTAAGCTTCAACGATTTTCATAGCTTAGTTTTGAGGTGTAGTATATGTATGTTTTTCCTCTCTGTTACAGTTACCCTACAAAGATAGTATCTTACCAAAGCAGGTCAGTGTATGTCACATTTGAGTCACTCTGTGATGTACTACTTTCATGTACTTAGAAATTAATAGGACGGGTTATTTAGTATATAAAGTCAGGAGGAAGAGGATATGTTTTGTTCATTGGTTTTGAAAAATGTCCACAACATGTGCCCTCCTTAATAAAAAGAAAAATGTCCACAAATGGGAAAACAGCATTTTCATAAAATTCAGAATAAACCACACTTCAGTCTCCCTAAGAAGTGCTTTGTTGGCTTTATATTTAGATTAGTAGTTAACATTGACATCAAATACGTTATTAGAAAACTGGTTTCAAAATTTTATTTCTTGGGCAGAAGAGAATTTGTGACCAAAGTTGCATAAAATTCAGTACTTCTTTCTAATAAATTTTTAATGATGTCAGTTGCGACTTGGTGCCTTCAGATTACATAGACTATATAACCTTGAAATGATCTCAATTAACGGTGTTTTCCTTGGGCTATTAATTTCCTCAATTTTATGCCATTCCAAAACAGAAGTCTTTGATGATCAAGCCCTTCAGTATTTACAAATGGCTCTTTTGAAGTTCTTGATCAGCTAGGTTTTACAGACTTCTTTAATCTATACCTGTTAATCAATGTTTTGAGGCTAATTGTTGCTATTTGCTAAAAATCCCTCAAGTTTATGGAAGACATCCCTGCTGAAGTATTCGAGAAACCAAAAATGTCATATTTTATAAGCCTGTCTAAATGTTTATCCGTGGAATCTAGACTATTTAAATTTTTCCAGAGTACATAGATTGTATTACTCCATATGGCTTCTTCATTTTGAATGTGTGTAGAAAGTGATTCACTGCCAGCTTTTGCAACCTAAGTGTATTTGTTCTGACATATTCTGAAGACTTTAGGTCCATTTATAGTATTTTATTTCATAGGTTCCTTTTTTGCCCCAAGATTCACAACTAACTGCAGATATGTTCTTTTTTCACTTCTACATTTGACTTATGAGAAACATTTCATTTTTAGAGTCTGTGCTATGAAAATGCTAGGATCTCATAACTTAAAGTCATATGATTTCATTTAAAACCCAATTTATTTGGCATATGAATTTGATTCAAATTAAATATGTATGTATGTATTTTTCCAAAGTCAGAGGATCTGAAGTTTTTTTAAAGAATGTCATCCTTATAAATATATTGTAACTCTTTAATGAATTTTAAATTCCAGACTTGCAGAATAACCTCCAGGTTTACTCTTTGTTGTTCTCTCATATTTACTACTTTCCTTTTTGAGTCACTGTTTTAAATCCAAGGTCTCCAAACCTGTGTGAATAGCAAACTTGTCCCCATATGGTCCTGGGTAAGCCTGGTTTAAAAAAAAAAAAAAAGCCAATTGATTTTCTTCAGTTGGTTCAGTTGACTTTCATTTAAATTGATAGACTGATTTCCAAGTACAGTGAAAAAAAGGGCCTGCCAAATATATCTTGAGAGGATACAAGCTGTTAAATAAACAGTAGTTAGCAGCCTCTTAATCCTTGATATTAGCAGGTCTAATCAATATATTTGATTACCTTGGACCTAGTCTAGAGAAAAATAGAGAAAGGGTTAAAAGCATAGAAAGGAGTTAAAGTAGGTAGAGCAAAGAGAAGTACGTATACTGAAGATGCCAATTAATCAAATAGTTGCTTTGGTGACACTCTGGCATCTAGTGTCTGTCTGCCTTTCCTAATTTTGGATCATGTAAGAGATACCCTAGTGGTTAAAATAGAAAATGCCTTTTGTATTTTTAAAAAATTCAGTAGGTTAAGACAATGAGTCTTAATCTGAATTTTGAGATCATGGAATTCTGTTGAGTATTTGTTTTGCTTGTTGATCATTGATATTTGATTGCTATTCCAGTAGAATTTGGAAATAGTTTTCTTATTGTACTAATAATATGGTAGGGACTCTTAAGGTGCTTGTGAGGGTCTCAGAATTGCCATGTTGTATTTGAACTTCATTTTGGTGATAAAATAATAGCTATTATTTATTGACTATAGACTATATATATATATAAAGAGCTTTATATATAGTCTCAGTTTCTTAGCCACTCTGCAAGGCTAGATCATAATATCACCATTTAACTGATACAGAGACCTAGAGAGGTTAAAATTGAACTCCACTATATGTTTAGCATAGTAGTTTAAAAGCATAAACTCTAGGACCAGATTGTTACCTACTAGCTCTGTGACATCAGGCAAATTACTTCTCTCTGACCCATTTCCTTATTGGTGAGATAGGAATAATAATAATAACACCTACCTCTTAGGGTTGTTGTAGAATTGCGTTAATAAATGTAAAACACTCAGAATAGTGCCTGGTATGTAATATGTATATAGCTTGCTGTTACTCTGCTACAGTGTGGGTCAAGGATTTTAGAGGTGATACGACAGGTTTTTGTTAACTCCCTAATGTACAGGTTGGGGTTGGGGAAACTACAGGAATATTCGGGGGAGCTATTAGCAGAGTTGTCATAAGTTTAAGTAGTCCCCTAAGAAACCACTCCAGAGATGTGAGGTGAATAGTGCATGCTGGGAGCTCGCCAGGATGAGCCCATCAGTTAAGATTCTGTGGTTATAGCCCTAGGGAATGTGTGTCCAGGGAATGGTAGAAATAGATGGTAATTAAGGTGTGGGAGCTCTTACCCCTTAAAGGGGCACTATACTAATGCAAGAAATCAGAAAGCTGCCATATAATTGCTGCACCATGTTTTGCCCTAATCCAGAGAAACCACACATAAATAAATGGATTATGAAAGTAGAAACCATGTCAAGTCCAACCCAGAAAAGGACTCAATTGTTCATCATCAAACTCTGTCAAATAGATCCTGTGAAGAATTTTTATATTATGAAGGTGTAGCTTAATTTATTTTACATGAGTACTGTACCTGGGAACAGCTTTGCTAAACTGCTAAATGTTTAGAGACTTACAAAGGCATCTGATATAGAGTAGTGTTGATTAGGCTATGAACTGGTCACATATATGTCTAAACTTATGCGCACACACATAATTGGATGCTATTTTATCTGTATTATCCCTTTCTTTTAGAACTGTGATCCTGAATTGTTGTCAAGTCTGCTGGATTTCATCCAGTTTTTTAATTTCTTTCAAAATGTTTTTAAGCAAGCTTATGTAGTGTTGTTTTCCTTTTTACTAAAGCCATTACACTATATTAAAAATCTAAAATCTTCCATCTTTTTTTGAAAAGTAGTGATTTTACTGTACTTCCTCAACGTCATTTCCATTTGATTCTTGGATCTCACAGGAATCCTTCAACTGCTTTCTACCAAGCGTTCCATTTGAACACGTTTCAGGAATCAAAGAACCTCTGGGATAGGTATGAATACTTACATATGGAATGCATACATGCGAAAGTGTATGCATGAATTGCTTTGCACTGTACTGGTTTCTTATCATTAAACCTAAACTTTTTATGTCATTTTGGGGGGGGAAATCATGTGGTATCTAGCATGGGACAAAGCAGCAAAATAAACCAAAAGAGCAATCTGTATTTTAAATAGAATATAAACATACTTTATTTTTTACTTCACTTTTAAGTATATTTACTTTTTTGAAGGACTTATATATTTCTCTTGAATTTTATTATATGAAATATCCACTTACCCTTGTATATTTTAATGTAAAAATTATTCTGTAAAATAAACAACAGTTAGTTTACTTTTGTCCTATTTTATACGATTTCTCTGTGAACGCCTTAGTAACTCAAAGCAAAATGTTACTTCATACTAAGAAATTGGAAAAGGGACAAGACCAAGGTATCAAAGTGTAGTAGTCATTGTTTTATATTGTTGAGAAACTTTAACATCAAGCTTGTTTGTTAGATTCCCTAGACCTGCCTGCATTACTGTTTTGTAAACTCCTAAAACAGTTTTTCTCATAGAAATGTTACATAAATTTTGTTTTTAACTTTTTAAAATATAGAACGAAGTCTTAAGAGTTCATTTATAGCAAAAGATAATTTGGTTTATCTTTCTGCTTAACACACATTTTAAGTAGTATATGCCCTGTTCAGTTATTTTGGTGAATATTTATTAGCGCTCCATCATTCTGTGTTTAATGACTAGAACAAGCTCAAATGCTGTTTAAAAATTCACACAAAGCTTTGTTAGATTCTTTTAACTCTGCCTGGCAACGTATTTGTGTCCTCTGGCATAGTTTGGATACTACTCATGGACTTTACTCCATCTCTTTCATTAGAAAAGAGTATTGCTAAGTGCATGTACATGTCATGTTAAGACATGGTTTACATTACCTACAAATGGTAACAGTCTTTTAATTCTTAGGGTTGATTTGTTTGTGTGTCACTTAAAGAGATTTTCTAACAAAGTATCTTTTCAGTGATATGTTCCTTAACTGAAAATGTTTTAAAATAGTTTCTTGTAGAACAAGAAGTTCTAAAATTTATAGGACAGTGATTATAATTTCAATTTTGAAATTGTACGGCTGTATCAATGTAAATTAAGACATAAATGTAAATTGTGACATGAAACAAGCATGAATGCTCAGTCATTCATATGGCTTATCCGATGTAGCCAGGGTGAGTGGTGAGTACTTTCGGTTGTACTTTATACTTCCATTAGAAAAAGGAAAAATAACATTCTGTTTAGAAATGTAACAAGAATAGTTTTAGTTGTATGGTAATTTATTTCAAATAGCTAAATATTGTAAGCTACCATGATATCAATATAAACGAGAGCTATTATTTTCATCAGAACAATGTAGAAAAGGTGTGAGCTTTATTTTTTATAATTTTGACTTAATATTAAAAGTTTTCTTTTGTTTCATTATAAAACAACCATAGAAGTTGCCTACTCATTATTTGTTGTTACAGCTAAATATTTATCTGTTTTCCTTTTTAGATACAGAAATATTTAAGGTATCAGAAATGAGGCAAGTTGCTGTATCTGTAGTTTCTCATGGGTTGAAAGTATTTGCTCTTCTCCTTGAAGCCTGTCGTCCAGAGTCAAAGAAGTTAATAGCGTGTTAATAGTATGTGAATGCCAATCTATAATCAGAATTTATATTCTAGGTCAGCCATTCTTCACTGTAAGTTGGCCCTTTGGTACCAAAGTGACAGGTCCAACCCAGTGCTAGTGGCTTCCTTTTAACTTTGCAATTAGCTTATTAAATTTTTAATTGAGGGGTGCCTGGCTAGCTCAGTTGGTGGAGCATGTGGCTCTTGATCTCGGGGTCATGAGTTTAAGCCCCATGTTGGGTGTAGAGATTACTTAAATAAAACTTAAAAAAAATTGTTTCAGTTGATAAGAGCAGTAGGCTAGCTTTATTAGTTCTAACTGTATGACCTCAGTTGGCAAATATCTACAGACTTTTTAGTAGGTGTATTAGCAAATAAAGTATTATGGGATTATACATTCTTTTTCATTGCAGACAGGGTTGAAGATTTATGTGTGTTAAGCTTTAAAAGATATTAAATATAACTTCTCCTGACCATGTTTATGTTAGATTTCACCAAATTGCCTTGTTCATTTTTTTGTTATAAATTACAGATTTTTAAAACAATTTTACTAATTTGGCAAATAAGTATTTTGCAGGGATGGTTCTATTAAGCAGAACCATTCAGGAGTTTAAGGAGATGTAAATCCCTTACATTATCTACTTAGTTTGAGGTATAAAATTGCTTTTTAGTATTGACAGATACCATAGTTCATGCTCTTGTTTATGAAATCTTGGAATTCATTTTCAGTAGAGACAGCTTTTAAGCCCTGTCCAGTTTTCATTAAACCTGCCCTAAATAGCTGAAGATCCTTGATTTTGCCTTACTTGAAAGACTGGAATCTTTTTTTTTTTTTTTCCCCAGGATTCTTTTAGCGGAGTATCTTTTAATCAAAATATAAGTAATTAATATACCTTTCCTACATTGACTCAGAGTTCCCTAATGGCCCCTTTGTTTCCTTCTCTATTTAAATTAGAATTAGCAAATTGAGAAGCTTTTCACCTATTTGCCTCTGCCTGTATTTAGAAATTCTCTCTTTCCATTGATAGCCAATGCTTTATTCAGTTATTGCATTAAAGTTTAAGCTATTGTCAAGCCTTTGGCCCTTTGGTACCAAAGTGACAGGTCCAACCCAGTGCTAGTGGCTTCCTTTTAACTTTGCAATTAGCTTATTAAATTTTTAATTGAGGGGTGCCTGGCTAGCTCAGTTGGTGGAGCATGTGGCTCTTGATCTCGGGGTCATGAGTTTAAGCCCCATGTTGGGTGTAGAGATTACTTAAATAAAACTTAAAAAAAAAAAATTGTTTCAATTGATAAGAGCAGTAGGCTAGCTTTATTAGTTCTAACTGTA